ACAGACAAGCATCCACCAAGAATGATTGAATAGCTCATTAAGGGCAGAATGGGGTGAAATAGGTGATTTCAAGGGAAAAAGTGTGAGGGATTTTTCTTTATAATTGTGCTGTGCTGATAAAACTGCAGTTCAAGCAGTATAGACCAAGCAATTTACAGAGATATGCAAAACACAACAGTTGGGTGTCTGCAAGAGACACGGTCAAAATCAAGAAATCCCCGTTAAACCAATATACTCTCAGTGGACTGAGAAAGATGAATGTATCACTTTGCATTCTCCAAATAAGAATGTAAAAAATATAGGTAAAACAAGGGACAATAGAAAATTGAACAATGTTTGTATAAAATAGTAACTCCATTCACACTATCGATTTCAGACCAAAGGGGGCTTTTGAGAGAGGAGGTGTGCAATTCCCAATATTTGGCTTTCCTGGTGCTGCCCACCTGAGGGGGGAGAGCTTCAGGATTAAGGGGATTGAATGAATATAAGGTATGAAAATGTCAAAGTAATGAGAAATGGGTACCATGTACAAAACAAACTCAGGTGAGTTGGTGAAATCATGAGAACAAAAGGGGATTGAAGTGCATAATAATATATGGAATATTGTAGCTGATGAATCAATATATCTACTTTTAAAGAAATTTTATTTTTTTAAAAAAGAAATCCTAGTATATTCTACTGCCTTGAGATTGCTTCTTATACCCAACAAAATAATTAACCACGTTCCCCACTGCTTATTTCACAATCAGCTCTGGGTTCCCAGCCCTGATGGAGAGTTATCTGCTGCTTCTCATTCCACTTACACAAATTCAACTTTCTGTGATTAAATCAGTTTGAAGAGCTGCTCTGACAAATGGGTAGTTCTTGCCAGGCTTCAGATTCACTTCCTCTCACTGTGTCTCTCGCACAGTAATAGACTCCCGTGTCTTCTGCTTTCAGGGTGTCCATCTGCAGATTCAGCTGGCTGCGGGAATCATCCCTGGAGATGGTGAACCGTCCCTTGACTTTATCCGAGTAGAGAATTGGAGTTGAGGATGTACCTATGTAGGCAACCCATTCCAGTCCTTTTCCAGGATACTGCCTCACCCAGTTCATGGGATAGCTGCTGAAGGTGAATCCAGAGCCTTGGCAGGAGAGACGGAGGGAACCTCCAGGTCTTCTCACATCCCCTCCAGACTCCACCAGCTGGACCTCTGACTGGACACCTAGAAAGAAAAGTGTTTTAATGAGTTTTTATGCGTACTAGTACCAAAAAATGGGAGGAAATTCTACAGAGGGGGAAGAATTACCTCTCAGAACTGTTAAGAAGGACATCAAGTTTAGCCACAGGATCATTTTTGCTCCCTCTAATGAATGGAGGGAATTGACAGGAGAGGATTCAGGGAAGTGCACAAACTGTGTGTTGGTGGGTGTAGCCTGAACAGGGAAACCATGGGGCTCTTTTAAAGGGGAAATTATGTCCTGATTTACATATCTATTCAGATAAAAGAGGCCCTCAGGGCACTGGTCTCATAGATTTCCTTGCACACACCTTTCAGACAAGATTTTGAATTGGTGGAAAAATCTTAGACCAATTGAGGGCAATTTTTATTGTCAGTACATAGGAGAAAGGACAGGAAGTAAAACAAGATCTTATAAAAACTCCGCAATTCAGGAAAGTCTTTACAGGTAAGAGAAAGAAAACATGAACTGAGTATAATTTCAGCAGCCATGTTAGAGACCGGACATGAAAAGAATGGCACGTGTAAGTCTAGGATGTTTCTTCCACAATTGTTCCTTTGACCATGTTCTTTTGAAGAAACCCAAAACAACAATATAGACCATGCTGTAAGGCACACTTTGGAAGTCATAGTTGAATTACTTGTGAGCAATACAATACAATACAATACAATACAATACAATACAATACAAT